CTTTGCACAAAATTTGTAACAAACAAACAGTCATCTATTCTTCAGATAGTTTGGTAAACACCCTATAATTTGAGGCTGTTTGGTCCAAAGACATAGCTTAGTATTCTGTATCTGGATGAATCACTGTATCACATATCTAGTATTTTCTTTAATTTATGTTCCTGATGTTTGAAGGTTCTCTGAGAAATTTGAGGTTCGTTGCTTAGTGAGCATATACAGTGTTTTATGCTTAGTCACTTCAGGAACTTTGGATAAATCTGGAAACATCAAATATGATGTTTTTTTGTGTTTTTCCAAGTGAACACCCTTTGCAGGACCATTTGTTTTGTCATCTTCCTATGCAATCTTCACCTTCTATATGGCAACACCCCTTTTTTTACTTTTTCTACAAGACAGTTGTTCTCTAATCTTTAGGTAAATTGAGAATCTGCACTTTAGAGATCAAGTCACTGTGACTCTCTCTTGTGACTACTATGTGTAGTGTGATGGAATGGGAAAGCATTCATTAGTTGAACATGCCCAGTTCATAATTATATATATATATAAAGATTCCCCCAGACACCAGTGGTTGGGAAAAGTTGTAGTATTTTTTTCTGTCCTCTATAGTTTTGTTTGGTGTATTCTTATTTCTAGGTATTATAAGCATAGAATATTGATCATTTGTTTTCCTTTGTTTTTAACAGTAGAATCTGTGCTTAGATACATATACCTTCTCTCTTTATACCCCCCACCCGTTTTTCTCAGCCGTGCTTAGTGCATGACTTGACAACTTGAATTCATAATCTGTAACCACTTTTGTATCCTTACCTATACATTTGCTACTTTTACCATTAAAATGAATGGTCTAGATGAGACATATGACTCAAATCTAAAGTGAGCTGAGCTTACATATTGAGGCCAGGTGGTTAGGGCACTAGACTCATAATATACGGGTTGCGTGTTCGAATCCCTGTTACACCAAACATACTTGCCATTTCAGCCATGGAGGCGTTATAGTGTGATGGTCAAGCCCACTATTCGTTGGTAAAAGAGTAGCCCAAGACTTGGCAGTGGGTTGTGATGACTAGCC